TTTCCAGCCCTTTGCTGCATCACGGTGTGGAGGGAAACAGAAAGTCCCCAAGGCTGAATCATGGGGCCATTGCTCCCGTCTCACCAGTTGAATTGTCCTGGTGGAATTAGATTGGGGACCTGAGCAGCCAGGTTAAATCACAAGCAAGGTTTCCTAGCAGGATCCACAACTAAATAGATAATGTGCTGCTTGGTTTGGGACTGAGCAGTTGTCTGGGGGCAGCATAGAGAGGGGGCTTAAAAAAGGGGAGAGAGGAACCTCAATGGGGAAAGGGACTGGGGATGCTAGTAGAGCCGTTCATGTATTCCTGGGCAAGTAACCCTCTCTCCCCCCAGACTCCACTTCCAGCTACCTGCTCGGGCTGCTTCACCCAGACACCTGTTTGAATTTGCAGTGATTTTTTTACTGCAGTCATTTTTCAGGTCATTTTTGTGTCTGACTGATCTTCTGAACTCCATTGCAATGATGAAGACATCTCAGCAAACCTCATTTCCAGTTAGCAGGACTGCGGAGAGAGGGACAGGGGGCAGAAACTGGCACAACACAGATGGGGAGATGTGGGTTGAACATCTCGTTGCCAAAGTAACAGCAGGGTGACCTAATGCCAATGGAGCTGACACCCATGGGGCCAGACAGTCCTGAGCCTTAGATTAGGGCTCTGCCTGTGCCAAGGAAAAGCACAGAAATACTGCTGCCAGCTCGTGTGCTGCTGTGCCTGGGGATCAGGGACACTTGGAAGTAGGTAGCAAAGTCCTGGAAAATAGACTACAGGGACGACCTTGCTTTGGGGGCTGGAGAGATGGCTTGGGTGGGATGCAGCTGAGCATTTCCACCCTAGCCTGAGCCTTGCACACAGCCCAGTCGCACCTCTAGAGATGTTCAGCAGAGCCCATCCCTCAAAACTGAAGCAGTGGTGGAGATGGAGGTACCGTGGCTGGCCAGGGCACGCAGGGCTTTCTGCATTGTTGTTACAGCTGTTACAGGTTCAGAGGACGGCGTGTCCACCAGGATGGCTGACCTGTGATGCAATGATCTCTTAGCACAACCAGCTGAGCCCACGCAGCTGCACCAGAGAGGGTGGCTCACTGAGCACCACGCTGGGCTCTGACTAACCCTTGTGTCCGGCCAGCTGTGAGGGGGTCCTGGTGGGCAGTGCAACACTCGCAACACAGCAAATAGACACGTGCTCCAGTGGTCCTGCACGGGGATGGGGGTAAGCTCATCTCAAGGGGTACAAAGCATGCACCAGCCCTATGGCTGTGGCAGAAAGCGTGTGTGCAGAAACCCTCTTAGCTCCATGCAGCAGGGGAAAAAACTGGCATGAATCCAGGGCGCTTTCAGCCTGCAGCTCTACAGCCATGTGGAGCTGCTTCTTGAGGGACCAGGCCTCATGTATCCAGGGCCAGCTGGGTAGAGGGAAGACCTGAGCCCCAACCCCTTTCCATTTGTGTTTGTTAAAGCTGAGTTAATATTGAAAACACCATTTTCCAGCCTTGAAAAATAATCAGGCCCCTTCAGATTGATGGGCCAGGGAGCAAAGAAAGCCAGCAGGTGCCTGTAAATAAGATGCCTTTCTCCCACGGCAGTGGGCTTTTAGCCACGGCAAGCAGAGCTGCTGAAGTCAGTCCCCTATTATCATATTTAATTGCCCGCTTGGTAACCTCTGGTAAATGATCAGAAGATTGTGATAGCAGCAGGTTCTGATGATGTAAACATGAGCTACATCTCTCTAAATCATCTGCCAAGCAGCTCCAGTGGAGAATGGTGATTTATGTACCCCTAGCGCCTTGAGCCCCCCTTCCCCGGCTGACAGAGCCAGCGGTTTAATCTGGGATGGGAAGCAGGAGGTAAATGACTTGATTAAAAGCTCTACCTAATTTAGAAGAGGAGGGGGGAGAGTAGAGCCCATCCATTTAATTTATGCACATAAACAGCAAAAAGCAGATGCTTTGAAATGGGCCAGTGAGGCAACGAGAAAACAAAGATTGTTAAAAGAGCAGGAGGGAAAACTCCAAGCTTGGAGCAGATCCTGGAGGAGACGCAGGACCAGCAGCATGATTGGTTTTCCCAATCAATGCTGCCCGGTTTGGTTTAGCTGGCAGCACCCACCTTCCACAGGACCAGCAATTGCTGCAAATGCAAGGACCCCTTGCAGAAATGCAGTGGAATCAGGTTATCCAGGCAGGCTCCCTTGTGGACAGAGCTGGGGAGGTCCTCCACTTTAGCAGGTGATTTCTGGACGTGGGTGATGCTGCCTGCCAAGAACACACTTTGCATCCCTGTCTGGTCTCTCAGCTGTGAGCAGATGGGGGACCATCTATCCCAGGGGTGGGCAATTATTTCAGGCGGACGACTGCTTACTGAGTTGTGGCAAGCCATCAAGGGCCACATGACAGGCAGGCAGGGGCAGATAAATATTAATTCTCTAAATTTTTTAGGGGCCGGATAGAATGGCATCTGGCCCGTGGGCTGCATTTTGCCCACCCCTGATCTATCCCCTAGGGTAGTGCTCATGGCAAAGTGCCCTGGGAAAGCACAGGGATGTGGTGCTGTAGCAGCCTAGGCAGGTTCTTGACAGTAAAGAAACCAGCTTGAACTTGCAGCTGTGCCAAGCCCTTCCTTGTCCCCATCTGGAAAATCCAGGCTGCTCCCAGACGCTGTTTGGCCAACACATTTCACCAGCAGTAGCCCACGCACGCCCCGCAAACATCAGTCATGCAGCAGCCCCGAGGGACAGTCCTGTTCCCTGTACCTAGCTCACTCCACCTCTGCAGCCTCCCCTCTCCCTGCCCAGGGTGCTGTGCTCAAGCTCTCGATGGAGTCGGAGCCTCTTCGAGGAAGATGAGCTCAGCTTCTGATCTGGAAAAAAAAAGCGCTCTGAATTTTCCATCTCGGCGCTCTCGCCCCCACGGCTCCATTGGATGCCAGGCCTGAGTCCTGACCCAGCAGTGCTGTGTCGAACCTGATGAGTTGAATTGCACGGCCAGCCAGATGTGTGCAGGCTGTGATGGGATGGGCACTTTTCTGCGTCGCACTAGCTGAGGTCCCGTTTGAAGGTCGTTTCCTCACTTTTTTCACCTCTGCAAAGATGAAAAGCATTTCTCGGGAGCTGGATGGTTTCTCGAGGCGCTGGGGTCGGCTCACACCGTAAACAAGCCGAGGCAGCAGGGAGCGTATTGGAGCTGGCGGGGAATCCAGCCACGCAGGAGGATGGAAAGCAAAAAAACCTGCTAAGGTCACAGGAATGTAATCAACTTGGCTATCGCAGCGGAAGGCAATTACATCAGAGCGTTGTGCCGCCTGCCAGGAAGAGCTAGAACTGGCATTTCTGAATCAAAATATTTCTGGGGTTGTTGTCCGCCCCCATCTCAAAACTTTTCCGTAGCAAATTTGGACGAAAGTATTTTTCCATTGGTCGCACGTGTCCATGGGAAGGGGAACCCCCCCTTCCTGTTTTCTCCCCACTGCTGCTCCTGGCCCCCCAGGTCTGCAGTGAGGATAAAATGTATTAATGAAGGTTACTGAGGTCAGCAGCGGCCGTGTCCTGTCCACCGTGGTGTGATAATCTGAAGTAGAGGAGCCCGTGGAGGGAGGGTCAGAGCAGATTGTCCATCCTCTCCTTGGAAAAGGGAGCGAGATCCTGCAGTACGGTAGTACCAGGAGGCTTAGAAAGAGGGAGCTGAGGATGGCAAAGAAGCAGGGTTCATGTGGCTGTAAAAATTGGGGGATCTAGTGTGCAGGGTCAGCAATGGGGCCAAGCTGGGTTAGGATGCCAGACACACAGCAGAGGGTCTTTGGATACATTTTCTGCCTCAACTGTCTGCACAGCAAAGGAAGAGCTCCAAGGAAAAGGAGAGCAGATCTGAGCATCTGGCTGAGGTGGTGGGAGCCGGGCCCACAACGCGACGAGGGGCAGGGAGCCCCAGGCTCGCCCGAGCGTCCGGCAGGGATGCAGTTAAAGTTCCCCATTCAATTGGTCACATTTGAACATTTCAACTGGAGCCCAGCTGTCCTCCGAATGAAGTGATTTCATGAGAGGAAGGCAGTGCACTTGGAAGCTGCCAGAACATCTGGTTGCAGCCCATGGCTAATTCCTGAATTTGCCTCAGCAATGCTTGGATCGAGCTCCCTGCCTGAGGAACAGAAAAGGAAATGCAAGCAGCGCTTTCTGCAGTTTTGGGGAGCCCGGGTGCAAGCAATAAGGAAATCCTTCCATTCCTCATGCTACTGTGCAAAGGACAAGCTGAGACGGAGAGGGCAAGGGGGCCCGTGTGCGGGTGAGAAAGCCAGGGAGTGCTGATTTATGACCTTTTTAAGGCCTGTTTCAAAGAAGTTGGAGAATTGAATTGAGTTGGGAGGTGCAGGACGAAAACAGTGACTTTGCAGTTACAAAATACATATACATCGGCGTAAAGCCTGTCCCCACCCAGCCTAGTCGGAGCGCCGTGGGGACTCGGGGGCAGAGAGGAGGCTCCCCAGGGACACAGCACCAGAGCTGGGGTTGGAGGCTGAGATCGAGTACGGGGGGGGCAAACGCAGAAATGAGCCCCTGTATTTATGACCTTGCGGGGTCTGACCGGGGAGCTGCCTACGTGCCACTGAGCAACATTTCTCATGCTCGCTTTTTTTCATGACAATACCTATTGTTCTGAACAAAGGTAACGGGAAATGCTGGAAAGCAATGGGAAAAAAAAGCCCATGGCAAAACTAATTGGCATTTCTCAACCTGCTCTTGAGTTTTCCCTAGGACCCGGTATGGGAGTTGGAGCCCATGCAGCCCATCTATGAGCACTCGGAAGCATGGCACGGAGCTGGGGGCAGAGGGCTCGAGCATGCACTCGGCCCGAGGCTGATTTTGAGGAGCCTTGCGGTTAAATGCTGGCACGTAACAGTGTCTACAGCAGCCGTTCCATCCCCCGGTGCTGCTAACAGGGACTCGGGGTTTGCACAAGTCCCCTCTGGAACTGGTACAAATGCCAAGGTGCTACCAGACGGTCTTGGTTTAAGTCTTTAATCATTACAAGAATTCCAGATTCATTACAGAAGAGTTTAAAACAATAATATTTCTCCATACAAAGGCAAAATAAACTTTTCAAGTAACAGTGTCCTGGCTCTGGAGTTTAACAGCCAGTGACTTGGAGGGAAGGGCTTGGTGAAAACCAGGCATGAAGGCCCCTTCCCCGCAGAGGAACTGCTCCGTTGGGGGATCTGGACGTAGCCTTCAAAGCCAACAGCACAGAGCGGGAGTTTACTGAAGGCTGGTAACACGGCGTTCAGAGCACTGCAGGGTCTGGCACAAGCAGAGGCCAAAAAGTGGGCTGTGGCCTCATGTAGAAGAATGCACTCTTCCCTGCCACAGCCCAAGCTACAGGGCTCTGGGTTGTTTCTATGCTAACAAAAAGATCCCGGGAACATTCCTGCGCACATCTGGTGTTTCCAATAAAAGGCAGGGCTGGGGTTTCTATAGAACCAAAAGTGCCATTGGACAAATAGTGTTCAAAGACAAGGAGGGGTGGGGACGGGTGGGAAGGTAATGTCACGGGATATTTCCAGCAGAGCCTGGGAGAAGCGTGTCCCAGACTGTACCTCCAAAGGGAGCTCTCATCTCACCTTCCCACTGGGAAGGAAACATGTATGCCCCCGCAGTATGGGGTCTTGCTGCTGGAAGGACCAGGTGCTTGTAAGACACTCGAGGATTGTTTTGGGGAAAGCGTTGCACTGGCTGGGGCAGGGGAGAGGTGGAGGGTCGCTCATCCACACAGCCCTCTGCCTCCTGGAACGAGAGTGGCACTGGGAACACGTGGCAGGAAGCAGAGCTGGCCCAGCGGCAGGGATGAGACATGCTGGAAGCAGGCACAGGTACAGACTGAATGCACAGTTGGCAGCAGGGTCAGAGATGCTCCAGTAACCTGTGTGCTGGCTCAGAGCTCCCGGCCATTTCCAGAAGCCCAAAAGTGGCCCCACAGCTCTGGACAAGCCATTTCTCACTGCGGGATGGGGTGCAAATTATTCATTCTTCCCTGCGAGGAGCCAATGCCCATGGTGAAGGCTGGGAAAGGTGCTTTTCTCCCCCCCCGCACAGACAAAAAGTCCCGACCCCACCATGGACCGTATGCTAAACCCCCTATTTTTAAAATACAGAAGACAGGCGCTCTCTAGCCTGTTGCTATTACACATTTGTGGCAAAGCGGGTGCGTCACAAGCTCTGCCCAACTTCAATGACCGCATGAGGCCCTCTGCTCCAGGACCCAGCGCCAGGGCAGAGGCCAACAGAAGACCTGACAAGAAGGGGAGGTGAACGAGAGGAGGGAAAGGCCATTGATATAATGACAACGTATTCCCAAAAGGCATCAACACATTATTATTATTATTATTAATATTATTGTTTAATACAACCCCATATAAAACTGAAGCAGCAGCAGCAGCAATTCTTATGGAGGGACCTAAACTGAAATAGGTTTAGAACATAATTTAAAAAAATAAAAACAGCAAAAGTAGCAAAATATATGAACTTTTTTTTTTTTTATAGCAACAGATCTCTACCAGCCACTAGTACCTTTCTACCAAACTGGTATATCTCTGGCAACAACCCTTTTAAAAAGACATGTAAATATATATTCATATTTATACATATTTTTAGCTATGTACACAAGATTTTTTTGTTGTTTTTAGCACTGGTATGTTTGGCTGCTTCTTCTAGTATCAGTGCTGAGCAGGTGTATATGTTGTATCTGGCCACTTCCAAGGTACCATGTGTTTGGTCAGCAAAGCAAATTAGAATTGGAATTAATAAGCCATTGGCACCAGCCTTAAAACCATCTCATATAGCAGTATCCACACAGCTTGGGCTCCCGAACCACCCAAGAGAGCGATGGTCCCAAAGCATTAAGACTTCCTAGTTAGCACTTCCTCGCTGGAGGCCGAGCTGCCGCAGAAATCCACTGCTTAGTGATGTCTGTAGCTTATCAAGCTGTTTCAGTTAAAATCGTACTGTGTTGAAAGAATAAAACAGGAACAGCCCAGCTTTTCCTGGCCTCCTCGGGAAGTTCATGTCCGCAGGATCCTTTTCAGAGAAGGGAATGCACATCATCAACTGGTTCCAGGTGCAGGAGCCTGAACTGGTTCTCTCACCGGGCACTGGCCAAAGAACTGGATTCATGTTTAATCCACTGGAAATATTCAAGCATAGATTTTGTGGAAAGGAATTAAAGACAAACCGTCAGGAGCGTTCACAACTAAGGCGGCTGGAGAAGCTGGCACGAGGTGGTGGTGGTTTTGGCTATATGAGATGCTACGGTTGGATCTTGGAAATCCTTTTATGCAATAGCTAAACATGACTGATGGCTGTGCAGACAGCAATCCCGCCAGCAGCCTGGGTGGCGGAGATGCGCGCGTGCACACATACACACACAGGCAGGCAAGCTTCTTTGCCTGCCTAGGTCCTTAGACCAACACGGCTACAACCAAAAACCCTGCACATACAGACACAGAGTTTGCAGTCTGTTGTTGGCGAGTCCCAGCCTCAGCGTCGTTTCAGTCCCCCGTTGGCGTGCTGAGGTGGGTACTTGGGAAGACAAGGTTCATCTGGAAGAGGATCATGAGAAAAAACAGAGTCCTCTCCCGAGGAGCACGTGGAGCTGCGGGTGTCTGGGAAACTGGGAGAATACTGATCCAGCGGCATGGAGAGATCCAAGTACTCCTGGAGGGGACAAAACCCCAAGGACATAGTTCAGATTAGGGCTCAAGAGCCCAACATCATCCCAGGGTCAGGGCCCAGCTGGGAGCAGGCCATATGCCGGGCACACAACACTAAAGAGAGGCAACAGGCAGCACTCATTTCTCAATGGGGAGGGAGCATTTGCTCTTGTGGGAGATGCAGGCATGGAGCCTCCCTGGACACCAGTGCACAGGAGCTCTGCTGCAAGAGCCAGCGGCTCCAGCTCCCTCCCTCAGGGACTAAGGACGAGAAGTGACTATGGGCAAGCCACAGTGGTGCAGAGATGCCATGCTGGGGTGTCTCTCCCAACAGCAGGACCATGCGGGGGAGTTTGCCTTCAGACCAGGCATCCTTTACCTGGTTGGAGGTCATGGCCACGATCCTATCCAAGTCCTCTACCAGCTGCTTAAAGGTGGGTCTCTGGGATGGGACAGCGTGCCAGCAATCTCGCATCATCATGTACCTGGGGAGCAAGCGGGCAAGGGGGAGGAAACCATGAATAAAGGGGACTTGAGGAGTTATGCTGCTGTCACACAGGCTGGGCTGGGGCAACAGAATCGAGCAGTGAGGACATTAGTCCTCAGGATTAAAGCTAATCCTCTTCATTAACAAGAAATCACTCCCCGTTGGCAGGGCTGGTGAGGGAAGGACACAGAGGGCTGTTCTAGGAGGAGGTTGTAGCCCACGGTCAAGCCAGGCCCTGCTCTGGGGTCAGTTTGGGATTTGTCCTGCTGAGAAATAACAAAGGAAGATGCTGGTTATTGCAAACAGGTTCAGCTAAGGTTTCTGCAGGGCTGGGAGCTGCTGGGAACATCACTCTGAACATCTGCTGCCTCCCAAAGCAGGCACCTGCCTTCCAGCTCTTGCCTTTGCTGCCTGTGCTGTCAGGCAGGCTGGTTCTTCCTTGCAATAAAACCCTTTGCTGCTCGACTAGCTGCAGTCCCCACTCTGGTTTCAAGACAGCCCCAGAGACTTTCTGTTGGAGCAGGAAT